TGAGCCCGAGCTACAAGTTCAAGGCGGCCGTGGAGAGCGCGGGCGCGGGCGTGGACGTGGACGCGGTGGCGGTCGCGGCGGCCGCCGCGGCCGCGGGCGCACGCCGGCGAGGGTGGTCGCCGAGGATTCTCCGATGCTGCAGGCGACTACACCCGCTGCAGCTCCGGCGCCGGCACCGGCGCTGGCACCTGCACCGGCCAATCAAGCCATCTTCCAGCCGATGATCATCCCTCCCGGCGGCGTCGTGGTGGCTCCTGATGACTTCCTGCTGTCGGCCATCTCCGACGACGAGCCCGTGCTGCCGCACAAGAAGCCGAAGCTCCTCGGTGTCTACACCCCGCCGGACAGCCCTGATCAGTTCGTCATGGAGTTCTTCGCGGATCTCGGCGACGGCGACGACATCCTCAGCTCCTCGTTCTGGCAGGATCCGGCCGGCGACGGCGAGGACACACAGTAAGCAACCAGAATGATCCTGATCCTGAATAATTATGGTGTGCTGCATCGAAGGGATTAATTCATGGACGACGATGCTGGAAGAACTCCTCGGTGTGTTGTGATGAGATTATCATCAGAAGAATCGTTTAGTTATTTTGATCTACATTTCGATCCTTGGCCTCATGGCTCTTTGAGCATATCATGTTGTGAATTGTGATATGCTATATGTATCTGTACTCAGTTTAATTTACCTGTTTTCCTATACTGATGCTGGTTTGTTCATGTCATGTAGGCATGAAACCAGCATGTTTACCTAGTTGTTTTTTTATGACAAAAGAACCATTGTTGTATATTCTCTAGACAATAGCATGATGGCTGTGTGTTGCAACGTTTTTTTTTCTTAATTGTCTACTATACTATCATTATGCTAATTTTGTTGTCATTACGTAAGATAAAATTTTTCATAATATTCTATTGTCATATTTTTTCTTTCGACGGGAACTATGGCATGTGAGGCTAAGAGACAAGCAACTCACAGTTCATGGGTCCCGTATGGTAGTTGGGTGGTGATGGTGGTGGTGGCAGACTCACCGCCACTACCATCTTTTGTATTAGTATAGACTAGGTAGATAAATATCTGTGCATTACAACGGATAATTCAAAATAGAAAAAAATCGCATATGTCCTTGTTGAAAAAAAAATATTAGCTTCTATTTGTTTCAAACAAGTCTTTTTGTCTCAAAAAGCGAAAAGAAAAATGTCATTGCTAGATTTTTGTACAAATCGATGACAGTATCTTTGTTAAAGATATATCATTTTCATATGATTAGAAAATATGTACTTGTCAATAAATTGTGTTGTCTATCTCATTTTAAACTGCAATGAAAACCTAAAAAGTTTGTAAGTTTTCTTAATCGTGATGGCAAGAAAATTAAAGAACCTTATTGCAGCAAAAGCGCGCAACTAATGACTATTACTACAACACCACTCCACCAGTACATGATAAAAGCTGTTATAGCACTCACAAGTTATATTGATATTATGACCACTATTGTCTTATAGAAGTATAGTATAGAATTATAGATTATAGTCGGTGTTATCCATCTTGTTGTTGTTTACCATGAATAATTAATAATGTTTCATATATATATACCTTGATATGTCTTCATGTTTAGTTCATCACGTTATGGTATATATATATATTACAGATTCTGTATCATTATGGTTTTCCCCATCATGCTATCATGTATTATGTTGTTTATATTGCTGTTTTGCAACCTCTTCTGATCAACGCGAATAATCTGTTAAGACCTCAAGGTTAGGTAATAGTTTTTCTTAATCTATTAACTGTTTTTTTCCTGAAATTATACTGTATGTAGGCAGTGTCCCTCTTGTTTCTCATATAAGGGTATAATCAAAAGAACAGTGTAGCTACTCAAATATATCATGTATGCTTAAAAGGGATTACCGAATACATGCTTGTAGCAATGCTATACTCTGAGAACTTATCACAGGCGATGGTGTAATGGGCATCTAACTGAAATTCTAGAAAACATACAGTGCAAACCACACATCTGGTGTAAACCTGAAAACTATCGTTGGATCCAAAAATTGATGTTTGATATTTGTCCATGTTAACAAGAGTAAAACTTTTTCTCATGATTAAATCTGGAAGTAAAAGTTTTATTTTTGATGACGTGAACACCATTTTAGACATCTATTTTTTATGTAACGATAGTTTCTAAGTTTCTATTACATATACAGTTTGTACTACATATTTTGCCCTGAATTCAGTTGACATATAATGATTTATCCAAAGGTGAATATATAGGTGATGCAGCAAGATGTGCAGTATGGTGCCTTGATAATTAATTATCTGAAATGGACAATATAGCAGGGTGAGTGAGAACTTTGTGTATCCAACGGTGTAAAGACAATCTTGTCTAGTCAATTGTTTGGTAATTGTGCAAAGTCGAAGAAATCTAGATTTGGCACATAAAATAGTTCCACGGAGATATCCTCGAATTTATTGGCAAAAATGAGTTGCATATGTGGAAGAAAGTATTACTTGGCATAATGTTAAAGAATTAATGCCAAAATGTCATTGTTTAATTTCATTCGACGCCAAAACTAGTTTGACATAAGGCCTACAATTCATTGGCAAAAATTGTTGCACACGTGGAAAGTGGACAATACATACTAGAGACCCTTTGTGACAAAATCTGAGTGTTAATTTTATTTGGCATAAAAAATAGTTCGATGTAAGCCCTATAATTCATTGGCAGAAAGTCATTCCATACCTTGAAAGGTCGAAAGTTACTGGACAACGACGTAACGTAGTAGAGGCCCCTTTGTATCAGAATCTGTTCCAATACTAGTATACATATACCTACATATCCTTCACATATTTTTCACATATTGACATATATAGTCAATTCAAGTAATTATGAAATAAAAAAATGTTTCGGCATAATCTTATTTTTTTTATTATTAGGTTCTAGTAGTGAATAATATCTGGATAACCTACTAGTAATCTGATCAGGAAAGGCATTTTTCCTATGATTTCAAAGCACACATGGTCACACACAATATGAGAGGGTTTGATGATAAATTGATTAGTTCTCTTGTAGTACCAGTATACTCTCAGTTATAATTCCTACATTATGGAAGAAGCATGGTGTTTTTGTTTTCATGAAATTTATCTTATGATAATATTAATAAACATAGTTAAATTAATGGAATTCAATGTTGAAGTTGTTTCTTGGATACTCTCATTAGTTCATCAAGATATTTCAAACTATTGGATTGGCTGCCCACACATGTTTCTAAGGTGTGATATGATCTGTTCGTACTAGAATAACACTGCTTTCAACTGCAGTTTTAGTTAAAATCTATGAAAGATTATATTTACAGGATATATAGAATAAATTGTACTAACGGTGAGGCATTCCTTGAACATGGTTTGTTCATATATATAAATTGACCATATGATTCCCGTGCATATATAATCAAATAGTGCTAGCAGATGCAGTGGATTATTGAGGTTATAGAACATCGGTATATATATATTATGTATAGTTTTGGAAAATGTTCAGTATATATTTATATATTATATACAAGATAAGAAGTCAAAACAGTATACTGCTAATTAATCTGCTATATATAATTAAGATGATCTTGGAGAGGAAAAACATATTATGGATACCTAGATAAGAATGTAAGAAGAAAATAAATTGAAATTGAATGTTTTAATTTCAAACATGTGAAGGCGTATAGTATAACTAATCCTGGTATAATGCTATTTCATTATGCATACATGCATGATTACTTGCTGTGAGAATCAAGAACTAATATATTGCGCACTTCTTTAATACTCCCTCCATTTTTTTTTTGTTTGAATTGGTTAGCTCAAAATTGAACTAACCAACGTCCCATACATTTGTGCAAGGAGGTAGTATTTGATTAAACGTCTCTGAGATACATACTTAATTAAGGGGGAAAAAAGCGGTGTGTAGAGTACTCTTATTATAGATTTTGTTGTTCTTTTAATGGTATTATTGATTTTGTGGTTCTATGAGAAGAAAAAACGCGGTCTTTGTGGCAACTTGATTTGTTGCATGCGTGCGTCCTAGCTATAGCTAGCTAGCTGGACTCAAAACACATTAAGAGAAGCATCCGAGTTTTATGTTACAAAATAATATATAGCTAAAAGAAGTTGTCTTAATCTCTTTCAGAGAAGTTGCAGTAGGTCCAACTGAAATGTAGATTTTCTTATTGATGAACTTGGTCTGAAAAATAATAAGTAGAGATATATATAGCCTTTGGATGGTCATACATAAGGTGACAGGAAATACTGGTCGTGTCGTTGTGTATGGCATCAGAATTCACAACCAAATTAAGGTACTAATACTATCTAGTAGCTAGTATATGAATATGTCCTTTCTGTGGTAGACTGGTAGTATACGAGCATCTGAAAATATATATATTCACCAGCTGGTAAATCAGAGTTTCAATTAACTGAGACAAAGGCAAATCAGTAGCAACAAATTAAATTAAATAAGAAACTTGCAGCTTTAGCACACCAGCCATGCATGCCGTGTGCATGTTCAAATTGACCAATTAAAAATAGATCACCACACACGCATACATCCGCACGTACGGGCAAAGACGACTACGCCTCATATTTTCGCTTATGCTTATACTTATACTTAATTATCAGCCGAAATTTAAATTTTCAACTATAAATTTAAAGTTAATTTTAGGATTTTTTTTTTCATCGAAGTTTATTTTTCAGTCTCTACTTTTAAATCGTTAAGAACATGTATATATTTTTTTCACAAATTAATTTTTGTTTGCAAATATATATGTTATTTAGCTTATTCCCCCGATAAACGAAACAATGGGGCCGGTACGATTATCTGAAGACGATGTCAGTGTAGGCAATGTCAAACAACGAAAGAGACGACGACTACATACATATCTGCAAGATGGACACGGTTGGTAGTAGGTAGGAAGTTTTTCTGCTGTTTCCTTCTCCCTTTTTCCTATATATATTCAGCCAAAGCCAGCCGTTTGCTAGCTAGCTTTCTTTGCTGCTCGATCTTAGTTATTGTCGCCATCTTCTCAACGTACTAGGGTGCCACCATTTCGCAGCTTGATTTTGCTCGATTAATTTGCTTTTATTAGGAGAGGCTGGATAATTTAAGCTCCTGATAAACACAAGCATATTGCATATATAGAGAGGCGTTTTTTGGGGGCGGTACGTGTTTGAGGTTGGCCTGCTTGTCTGCTTTCTCTCTCTCCTCTCTCAAGGGGAAGGGGAGAGAAGTAGCTAGAGCTCGCCGTCGTCGTCGATCGCCGCCGTCGATCGATTCGTCGTCGTCGTCGTCGCCGCCGTCTTCCGGTCGAACCCTCTTCAGGCGTATATATGGCCGTGAGTGCTTCAATTCTTCGTTGCTTAATTAATTGCCCTGCTTCAACTAATTTAATTCTTGCATATCAAAATTGTGTTCTTGCTGGCTTCTTGCTTTGCTTAATTAATCAATGTTCTTTCTGCTTTGTTATTCCTTGCATGCATAAACTGTTGTTTCACCTGTTTTCTCTGACGACCAAGCATGCCGTTGATCATGTTGCTAATTAATTACTTACCTTCATAAAGATCATTTCTAGGCTTAATTACGTTGGCAACAAATAGGATCATGAATCGGAGAGGACGAGTTAGCACATATGCATGCCGGAAATTAAACCATCTCGCTGAAATGAATTGATCTCTAGCGGAATTAGAGCAAGAAGAAATGGTAGAGAAAGGTTCCTGTCGCTCCAAGCTTCTTGTTGTTGACATGCACGATTAAGAAGATGATCTAGGAGACGCGTTCATATAGATCAATTTGCTTCAATTTGAAGATCTGTGCACACATTAATACATTAATTAATTGATGAGAACGAGTACGTCATTGAATATCTTGACGCGCCGCAATAAGATTATATATCCTTTTTATATAAGTACTGTCCGAGCGATCATCTTGGTTGGAAGTTAATTATATTGCTGTTTTCTTAATCTTGTTTACCCATTCAAACCACACATCCAGAATACAGTATGATTAGAAAGGCAAAAGAAACGCGGTTTTGTTTAATTTATAGCTACTTGGAAGCACGTAGCTTTCAAATACAGGAGGCGGTTCGCACGACTCTGACAGGAGCCATATAGCAATCCAATAGTATAGCAGATACAAAGTTGACCAGAAATACAGTATCCATATCTGATGATCTTCAGCTCTTGGTTCACTGAGATTAGAAAAATAAACATGGGACAATTCTTTAAAAAAAACATGAAATGCATGACACGTACCCACTTTGATTTTGCTTTTCCATTTTTCTTTATGAATGCCACTTTGCTGTTTGGCCCCATTTGACTGTGATGATTTTTTTTTTGTCAATCTCAAAACAGCTAGATTATGACTAATACAGTGCTAATAATTTAATTTTGCATTTGTTTACAAATCCAGTTGATTTTTTAAAGAGTAAACTGCATCATATCCCCCTGAACTTAATTGTTTGGTCGTGTATATCTTAGGTTCCTGACATGGGAGTTAAACATTTATGTCTAAGTTATGTATTATCTGCTATTGACTTACCTTTATTTAGAAAATGGATGTGCCATTGACCATGTAATTAAGCTAATTTTTGGTGACATTTGCTAGCACGTACTGTAATGGAGAAAGTAACCTACAGGTAACTACATGTCATTTTATATAGACACAAATCAAGTCACACTTTCAAGACCTTATACATCAAAGTATTTTAAATAATTAGATTGCATACACAAAATAATTTATGTAGATTTCTCTTGTAAATCAGTTTTAGGTAGTACTGTGTGCAATTTTGTAGGATCTTAACAAATACTCTATGTTACAGTAGAAATTTGTGGTTATTTTTGTATTAATATTTTCAAAACTGTATTGATTAATGTATAAAATAATAAGTTCTTTGCCTTATTATATATCATAACACTGTGAGAAATCACCCAAAAATAAGACAGAAAAAGTGAGAAACAAAGGGTGCTCCCACCATCTCAGTGACCACAATAGATCACATCATATACCATCACATCAACCAGAAAATTATTTTCTAAATAAGTTCTTGCTAATAACAAGAGAGAGTTAGGAATTTATCTCATCACTTTTTTTTAACAAATTTATGTTTGTGTGTATTATGACTGAAGCCGAGAGTGTAAAACATTAATTATTCCCATTATCTAAAAATAATTCTTGTATATGATTTTGTCACGTTTTTTAAATGCCCACGAGGACATGGTCTGATGAGTGTGTGATTTTGTGCACTTGCAGAAACGGCCCAGCGTGCCCAAGTTCGGCACCTGGGAGGCCGACAATGTCGGGTACACGCTCTACTTCGACAAGATCCGCGAGAACAAGGGCGCCACCGCGCCGCCGCTCCGCCATCCGTACAACCATAACGACCCCGCCGAAAACCCCGGCGTGATCCGCGCCGCCGACAACCTCGCCGCCGCGCCGTCCTCCAGGCCGGCGACGTCGAGCGGCCACCGCGAATCGCAGAGGCATCATCAGCAGCCGCCGGGCTCCCACCAGCACCACCGGCGCTCCGGCAGCGTGGCGTCGGACCCGGGCGACTTCCAGAGCAAGTTCGCGCCGCCGCCGCAGTTCCGCCCAAGCCCAAGCCCCTCCCAATACGATCACCACAGCTCCGACCACCGCCATGGCCACGGACACCACCCACCCCATGCCGGGTACAACTGCGGCGGCGGTGGGCGCCGCGCGCCGTCGCCGTCGCCGCAGATGCACGCGGCGTCGAGGCGGCACCACCACGGCCGCCACCACCAGCAGGTGGCGCCCAAGGCGCGGTCCGCGTCCGCCTCGCCGCAGCACAACATATACGGCCGCCAGAGGGCATCGGCGGTGCCCAAGTTCGGGGTGTGGGACGAGCAGAACGGCGAGGCGGCGGCGCAGGGGTTCACGGTGATGTTCGACAACGTGAAGCGGAGCCGAGCCGCGGCCCGGGGCGCCGGCGCGGCCGGCGTCGTCCCGCGCTCGCCGCCGCAGGAGATAAGCGCCGCCAACATGAGGCACTCTCGGGATCACTCCCTCATGTCCAAGGTACACGTTGTTTGCATTGCAGCAGGTCACTGCCTTTCTCCGTCCTAAAATATAGCAATAAGGATCAGATTGAATATAGAGTAAAATGCACCGGCGGTCCTTAAACTTGTCAGGAGGTTTCACTTAGGTCCACGAACTTGTAAAGCGCACATCGAGATCCCTAAACTTGGTTTATTGTATCATCCCGGTCCAAAGCCGCGTTTAACCGTGATCTTGCACGCCACGTGGATGATGACATGGAATTTTTTTATTTTTTTCTCCCTTCTTAATTCTTTTTTTCTCTTTCTTCCTTGTCGAAAAGACGAAAATGCCTTGTACACGTCGTCCATGTCATCGTCTTTTCATAAAAGAAAAAAAAAGGAGGGAGGGAGAAAAAATTTCAAAAAATCCATGTCATCGTCCACGTGGCATGCCACGTAGACAAGACCACGGTCAAACGCGGCTTTAGACCAGGATGATATAATAAACCAAGTTTAGAGACCTCGATGTGCGCTTTGTAAGTTCGTGGACCTAAGTGAAACCTCCTGACAAGTTTAAGAACCGCTGGTGCATTTTACTCTTGAATATATTGTAATCAGGGTTTGCAATTTCGAAACTTGTGTTTTTGCCGCTGGTGACCGAAAGAACTGAATTTTCGGAATTTTTTGGACGATTTTTTTTATTTTTTAACATATTTTTACCAAATTTAAAAATGTTTGGCAAAAGCCAAAAATTTCGGGGAGATTTTGACCTTGTCGGTGGGGGCCGAAATTTCAAACCATGACTGTCTAGTCTCATAATATTAAGATATGTTCAATTCTGCTATAATTGCTATATTTTGGAATGAAGAGAGTATTAGCTAGGCATGACTAATCTTCCCGAGTGTTCTATGGCTTTCTGTGCTGAAAATTATGCTTGTGCTGTGCTGAAACATGCAGATGTTCGGGTGCTTCCAACCAACCACAAGAGAATGAGGACGAACGGCGATGTTTCTCTGATCCGATCCTGTACATGTATCAACGTATGTGACCTTGACCTAGCTAGGTCTTGATCATTATCTCCCCTTTCTTTTTCTGTGTGGTGGTCTTGGGATGTTGGTCTTTCTTCTATGTTCTTTCACTGGATTGGTTTTTGACTTGAGAAAATTACAAAAGGTTGAGTGGGAGCTATATATATATATATATATATATATATATATATATATATATATATATATATATATATATATATATATATATATATATATATATATATATATATATATATATATAATTGTTATTATCTAGCAACTGCATGCACATATATATGTTACATGGGATGTATAAGTGAGTACATTATTGATCTATCATGTGTGCTTCTTTAGTTTTCACTTGTGTCTCTTCTCCTTTTGGTGAAGAAAGAGATAGAAGTCACCCAGTCCATGGTCACCAACGCAGCAGCAGCCTGCGTACCACCCTTGCTGGGCTATATATCCCTCGCAAGGAATAAGTTCTCTTTGAGTCCCTAAATACTACTCCAATCTAATTCGTATCCCTTAACCGTAATATAAGATATATTGGCCTTCTAACTATTGAGACCGGTGTAATTTTACTCCCTCAGCGGTTTTGAGAGCAATTTTCACTGATATAGCTTATTAACTTGGTCAACCCTATTGCTAAACATGGCAACCCAATCACAAAGTAGAAGTGGGCCCGTATGTAAGTGACTAGAAAAAAAAAACAACTATGAACCACTTGTCATACTCACTATCCCCCTCCCTATCTATTCCCCTTCCCTCGTGTGGCTCGCCGTTGCATTGATCCCCTCGCAGTTATCTCGCTTAGATAGGTTATACGTACGTGCGTGCATGGAATAATTAGAACATGTTATTCTCTCCGACTAAGCCGCACATAATCAAGCGATTAGCCAAAATTTTGGATCTGTACGTGTGTATGGGTTATGGATCGATTAAGATTAGGAATTAAAACAAAATACATCTTTCTAAATTTGCCCCTCCACAACTTCTAGTGCTAAATTACCAGGTGTAGTAGAACTGAATATTATCCATGGGATTAAGCCAGATGAATGGCTCATATTCATGGAATAATTAGGGTACTCTACAAAAATCTATATAGAATACTAACCACTCCAAGAGGAGTACTGTATGTTGCTTCTGAAGATATACTGTACCAAAAACCCTATGACATTAGACCTGTGAGCGCTAAAAAATATAGTTATATTCATTCCCTCTCCCATATTTAATCTTGCACTCAACATGTGGACGCGAAAAAAAGGAAAATTTAGCTTCGAGTTATCCACAGTTAATCAGACAAATCACCTACGTATATACTCCCTTCATCTCTAAATATTTAACGCCGTTAACTTTTTTAAACATGCTTGAGCGTTCGTCTTATTCACAAAATTTAAGTAATTATTAATTCTTTTCTTATCATTTGATTTATTGTTAAATATGCTTTTATGTATACATATAGTTTTACATATTTCACAAAATTTTTTGAATAAGACGAACGGTCAAACATGTTTAAAAAAGTCAATGGCGTCAAATATATTTAGGTACGGAAGAGTATGTATGAGCTAGCTATGACCTGCATGATGATGGCGCGGGGTGGAGATTTGGTCTGACTGGAAATTTCAGTCTCGGTCTTTGATCTTTCGGTCATTTTAGTCTTTAAAAAATGAAAAATGAAGACCGAATTTCAACCAAAAATTTTAGGACAGACATTCGGTTTCGGTCTCAGTCCTGACCCTGACCGAAATTTAACAAAATTTTCATATATGCAAAGAAATAATAAAAATTTTTAACACAATAATCATAAAAAAAATTCGTAAGCACGTATGAGTAAAGACTCTTATTAGGTTGCATGACTAGAAGAAGTAGGGATGTGAAAATTAGAGTTTAATCCTATTAAACTTAGTGGATTGTAGGTTGCATTTAGATATATTTTTTTGTTAATTTGGTCTTTTTGTCAATTCGGTTAACCAAGGAGACTAAGTGAATTGACCGAACAAAATTCGGTATTTCACTGCCTGGACCAAATTTATCAGTTTCGGTCTTTTCGATCTCGGTCTTTTTCTGCCCACCCCATTGGCACCTTCGGTATAACTCATTCCAGCGCCGTCTCTTTGTCAGTAGCCATGCACGTAGAACATGCTGCGAGCTATCCGTATAACGCTGTGTTTAGTTCTAAAGTTTTTCTTCAAACTTTCAACTTTTCTATCATATCAAAACTTTTCTATACACACATACTTCCAACTTTTCCATCACATCGTTTTAATTTCAACCAAACTTTCAATTTTGGTGTAAACTAAACACAGCCTAAGTGTAATATAAGCGTGTTGGTCTATGATGTGATTCACATCCCCTACTCTACTTTCATGAACAAAAGCAGAGCCTGCAGGCAAGCCAGATCACAGCTACTCCTTCTGTTCCATAGTACAAGTCGTTTGATTTTTTTCTTAAATTTATTTAAATTTAATTAAGTTTGTAGAAAAATATAGTAACATTTTCAATATATAGAAAACATATTATCAAAATATATTCAATGTTAAATTTAATAAAATTAATTTGTTATTATAAATATTGTTAATTGTTTCTATGAATTTGATCAAATCTAAAGAACTTTGATAAAAAAAAAAAGCCAAATAACTTATAATATGAAATAGGGGGAGTACATATTTTCAGGCTTGCAGCCCAAGTACCAAAGAGCCTATCTGTTGGCTATTCATGCGCATTTGCCCAATTGACGAGGTGGAAGGTATGAGCGCATGACTATCACCTTTTATTTGACTGGATGGTTTAAAAATGGTACGAGAGGATGAGCTCTATCTTCTTCAACACTATAAATCCATCATGGACCAGTGAGATGAACGGGTGGAGTGGATGCTATGCATAAGCTATGCCACTTAGGAATAAAGGCTGGATATGAGATACTGGTGAAATCCAATTTAAGTTTTTACTTACCTAATCATAGTTAAATAGTTAAGTATTTACAAAGAAATGATTAATGAAATACACTCGTTTCAAGACCGGATAGAAAGTGTTCCACCTATTAACGGTAATAGTGTATGGGGTAGTCTTCCAGGTGATAATAAATTTATTATCAAGAAACTGTGACAATAAAAACGAATTAAATGATAGAGGGAAAATGAGAAGATAAGGAAAAACGTCAACACAAGTGAAGATTAAGTGAAGATTGATCACGCTGACATTGAGGAAGAGAAGTTCGGGATGAAGTGAAGATTGATCATGCATCCATGCTGACTTTGAGGAGGAGTAGGAGTAGTTCGTTGTAAGGAGGCGATTGCCGTAGCAGTATTTATGATTTCATATGTATACCTATATTGTTTTCTTAAGGTTCTTTTTCCTCATATATAATCACACAACTTATCTTCATTTTCACTCCCACTTAAATTTGGTTATTTGGTTATGTTGTTGTCTCCATTATCAACACTATAATGGAGCATAATTCACTACAGACATGTGCTTAGTATTGTGCACACGCCTGGACTTATGAGTCATGACTTACGTGCTGCCGTGGTGACATGCTGAGGCCATCGGCTGTGTCTGCATGTGTGATCGATGAGCAGTTCACTTATAATATATTAATATGCAGTCCTTTTACGTGTTTGCCGTGGTGACATGCTGAACCGACGCAGGCCATCGGCTGTGTCTGCATGTGTGATGGACGAGCAGTTTTCTTCTAATATATTAACGTGCAGTTCTTTCATGTGTTCGTGAAAAAAAGATCTATGAGCAAAACAGCTCGGCGGCGGCAGCGGCGCCGGGGTTCATATACGGGGCAGTACTGCAGTTCGAGAACGTCAAGTGGAACGGAAACGGGAGGCGGCCAGGGGCACGGCCGCACGGGGTGGCCGGCGTAAGCATTACAGGGACCATTTGCTTTGCACCACAGCAGTTCGCTGCCTAGCTAGCTAGCTAGGCCGTGTGTTTTCCGGCTTTCTAAGCTGAAAATTCCGTTTTGATTATGCTGAAAATTTGTCCGTGTACTTCCAACCAACCACAAGAGGCTGAGGACGATGACGATTCTCGTTTTTTTTTTACTTTTTCATTATAACATTTACAAAAATATTTTTTTATCAACAATTTGCAAATCTGGATACCTCACGCTCTTTTGGAGGGCGTTTTTTAAAACGCCCATCCAAAGCATGTTAAGGGGCTTAAATATATTCTTTTAGTATAAATTGTTAACTCTATGATTTAGAAATTAAAAAATATATCATATAAAGTTGGATGAAATCAACTTTATATGAAAATTCTCGAGGAGAACGACAACTTTTAGTTAACAATTTTTTCATTTAAGATCGCTTAGATGTTCAAACATTCGTTATAAGATTAGAACCTATTTTAACGAAATCTTAGATCCACATTTCAAACGATATCAGATAGAAATAAGATTTATATAAAAGACTTTATATTTTTTCCATTTAAAATTATTTGAAGTGTCGAATTAAAACTGGTGAAAATGATTTAAATACAAATAAAAATTATTACATTGGTCCCTTGACGCTCTTGGAAGGACGATTTTTTAAAAAAAAACATCCCACTAGAGATCGTGAGGCGTCTAGATAATAAATTTTTGAAATGAAAAATTATTTTCTAAATATTTTAATAAAAATGTAAAAAAATCGCCTCTCATGTATGTGACGTTGATCGATCTAGGTCCGTATATCGTGCACATTAATAGGCTGGGATTGTGAACGGTGTTGTCTATCATTTTCCCTCTCCATTTTCTTCGTGTGCAGGGTTATTGTGGTAGGATGCTACTAGTAGTACATTCGCTCTTCTTTTTTCGGGTACTATGGCTGGCTGAGTTGAGAAAATTCCAAAAAGGTTGAATGGGGATTTTTTTTTTTGGCGGGGTTAGTATTTAGCAACTACTACATTCACCGCCCGTTTTATTTGAAAATTTTATGAAATTTTTTTAAATAGTTAGTCACATATAAAGTAATATTTATGTTTTATTATCTAATAATAATAAAAATATTAATAAAAAAAATTTAAATAAGACGAACGGTCAAACGTTAAATATGAACCGTGCAAAATTACAGTTAGCTGGAACGGAGGGAGTACTTCATATGCACTGGTGTTACATGACGCCCATCTTAGACTCGCGCATTTACACAT